GAGCTTGAGGCTGCAGTACAGTATGATCACACCTGTGAACAGCCACTGCACTCCAGCCTGGGCAACATAGTGAGACCCTATCTCTAAAAAATAAATTAATAATAATAATTATTTAAAATTGAGTTATTAAAGCCTAGAGTGTACAAAAATTACTGTTACTTACGTAAGTGGTTACAAGTACAGCTGGCTCTCCGTATCCATGGGTTCCCTATCCATGGATTCAACCAACCACAGATCAAAAATACACGGGAAAAGGATGGTTGCATTTGTCCTAAACATGTATAGATTTTTTTCTTATCATTATTGTGATAATAATACAGTGCCACTACTTACATAGCACATTGTATTAACATTAGGTTGTATAAGTAACCCAGAAATGATCTAAAGTATACAGGAGGGATGGGGCATGGTGGTTCACGCCTGTAATTCTAGCAGTCTGGGAGGCAAGGCCAAAGGATTGCTTGAGGTCAGCAGTTTGAGACCAGCCTGAGCAAGATCGAGACTCCATCTCCACTAAAAATAGAAAAAATTAGCCGGGCGTGGTGGTACATGCCTATAGTCCCATCTAGTCTGGAGGCTGAGGCAGAAGGATCGCTTGAGTCCGGAAATTTGAGGTTGCAGTGAGCTATGATGATGCCACCGAGCTCAAGCCGGGTGATAGAGAGTCACAAAACAAAATAACAATGACAACAACAAAAAGAAACTTGAGCATCAGTAGATTTTGGTATCTGCGAAGGGTCGTGGAACCAATCCCCCATAGATACCCAGGGACGACGGTCTTCATTTTCAGGGAGAAAAAAATCAAATAAAAACAGAAACCCAAATTTAACAGTCATCAAAACACTACCAAACAACTAAAACAAGCACAACTGGCTGAAATTATTATAGGCAGAAAATGATCTGAAAAAACATCGCACTGTACTCCATAAATATGTAAAACTGTGTCAATTAAAAATGTAAAAAATTATTTTTAAATTGATACATAATATTTCTACATATTTATAGGGTATATGTGTTATTTTGATACATGCACAGAATGTATAATGATCAAGTCAGGGTATTTAGGATATCCATCACCTCAAGCATCTATCATTTCTTGTGCCGGGAACATTTCAAATCCTCTCTTCTAGCTATTTTGAAATATACAACATACTGTTGTTAACTATAGTCACCCTACTATGCTATCAAACAGTAGAACTTACGTTTGTACCCATTAACTTTACCTCTTTTCATGCCCCTCCCCCTCACATACATCCTTCCCAGCCTCTGGTTTTTGTTTTTAAAATTAAAAAACTTTTAAAAATAAAAAAGAAGAAAAAAAAAATTGCAATCTGTCTCCTCAGTGCTCAAAATTTTAAGTAACTCGATAGCACTTAAGATGAAGGAAGAACACTGCTTTCAAACTTACAGAATTTGTTGTAAAGGAATTTAAATCAGGTCATGTTTGATAACTTTGTGTGAATCGTCCAAACTTTTTTGCCTCTTCCCAGAGACAGACATTGTGTCTCCTTCAAAACAGGGGTGAAAAAAAACCACAATGAACTACTGAAGTCATTATCCCCTAGTCTGCAAAAGTAAGTTTTAAAAAGTTATAACTGTTACTTAAAATAGGATTCTTAGTCTGCCTGTAGATTTCTATTGCAATATAACTATGTAGTTGATGAGTTCTAATTTCAGCTTCAACACTGCCTAACTGTATAATCTTGGGCAAGTTTAAATTCTCTGTGCCTCAGTTTCCTTATCCCTAAAATGGGGATACTAATACCTCTTAGAGGTATCTGAGGCTTCAGTGCATCTATATATGTATATACGCAAAAACACCGAATGTACTTGACATACAGTAAGCATCATACATGTGTATACCACTGTTATTATTATCATCGTCATCACTATTATCTATCCCACTGATTCCAGTCATAAATTAGTGAAGCTGAGATCTCTCCAGAAAAATGCACATAAGTAAAAGATTTTGAACACAACTGCAGGGCTCATGGATCCCAGATTAACCCCGCCAAAAATCCACAAGCAACTTGGTATAATAATGCAGTTCTTAACCTCTTTTGTGACACAGACCTCCTTACTAGTCCAATTAATCTAGGGGTCTCCTCTCAGAATGTTTTTAAATTTATGAAATACATAGGATCACAAAATAAACCAAATATATTGAAATACAGTTAACAAATGTCTTAAAATTTCTAATATAGTAATACATTATATAAGAAGATTTTTATTTATTAATTTTTTTTTTTGAGATACAGAGTCTGCTAATAGCTCACTGCAGCCTCGAACTCATGGGCTCAAGCAATCCTCCTGCCTCAGCCTCCCAAGTAGCTGGGACTTGTACAGGCCCACTCTACCACACCTGGCTAGTTTTAAAATTTTTTTGTAATGTGGTCTCACTATGTTGCCTAGGCCAGTCCTGAACTCCTGGCCTCAAGCGATCCTCCCGCCTGGGAAAAGTGCTGGGATTACAGGCATGAGCCACTCTGCTCAGCCTAAATAACTAACAAGACTTTTAAGCATATAATAACAAGGAGTAATGAACATAAACAATATTCTAATGTATCTGCAAAAACTGTAATATGATACCAAAAAATGTGATTTCTCTTGGTGACAAGGTCATAGACACTGTTGCCTCCACTGAAATTTAAAGAATTTTCAATTCTTTTCCATCTAGATTTCAGTTAGAAGCTCGTGAAAATAAACAGGCAAATTTTTTTCCCTCAACCAAGCTCACATTCTTCCTCAATTCCATCCAAAAAGACCAGATTAAGAACTCTTGGCGTATGCACATGTGGACCTATCTCGGGAAAAATTATTGAGGGGGGAAAAAAAAAGAACTCTTGGCTTAAAGAAAGTGCAAAAATAAATTTTGGAGCCAGAGACTCGTGTTCTAGAAAGTCAGACTTCAGACTTTAGTCCCCACATTATTTACACTTGAATGACCTTAGACATCTAACTTCTGAGCTTTGGTTCCCTCATTGAGAACAATTCCTAAATCATCAGGTTATAAGGATCAAATATTAGTTAACAAAATAACAAATGACCAATGTGTTGTTTCTGACTCCTTTTAATAACACATACTCAGCTCCAAATATTTAATGACACTGTTAATTTTCAACAGAACTCATCATACAAGAAAAATAAAGAATGACATACTGATTCACAAAGAAAATGATTAATGGAGATGTTAACTTTAAATAATATAATAGTTTAGTGAGAGATATGGTAGAGTTTGTCTAAATGGGAGAGTCAGGCAGGCCCGAATTGCTAAAAGCCTGTCTATGATTTGACATCAGAATGACCTAGATCTAAATCCCAGTACCACTGCTTTACTAAGTAAAGTTACTTCTCACCTTTCCACCTCAGTTTTCTCATCCGTAAAACACTGCAACATTGCTTGAGAGACAGAAGAGGACCTAGCTTAAACATTAAGTGAAGCTATTATTAAAGTTTACATTTTAATAAAGCCAAGGAATCAATCTGGAACTCAAAAGTTTATTTTGGAAATTATGTTGATATAAATCAAACTTCACAATCTTTCTTTTGCCCAGCAAAACACACACACACTTAAAACCTGCGATATTGCATGGCATGATATTCCTAAAACAAACTGGCACTGCTTAAAATCATGTCTGATTTCTTATTCTGCCAAAGGAAAACAACGACGATAAAAACGGCAAACAGAATGACTTCAGTAATTTTAAATCTTTTCATGACTTGCCTGGAATGTTCCAATGAATGTTTATTATTAACGCTGGATGTTACTCTAAGAGAACACTCTTTTAAAAAACCAATTTAAAGATCTCAACTCATCAGCTACATAGTGTCAGTTAAAGAAAAAAAAGGAAAATCATTTATTTACTTTATGTTGAAATATTATGGAGTGAGATTTCCTACTACTAGCGGAAAAAAGCCGCCAAAGGCTGGCCCTGGCTCCTGGATCCATTATACAACCTGTAAATTACTTCTCTCATTGAAAAGATTCTTTTTATGGGCATAGTTAACAAATGCCAAGTTGCGAAGTTTGCAGTTTTGCTAGTTTGACGTTTTCACAATGTAAGAACAATATGATCTGGAATCTACTCAAAGCATTAGCCAGGCAGTCAGCTGATTCTCACTGCACACAGGAGGACCGAAATAAGAGAAATTAAACTTTTTATTTGTGTAAGGCAGGTATCCACTACCGTGAAATCTAAAATAGACCAACACCAGACGTTCTAGTTAAAGTAATAAAAGTATTTCCATTGTTCAAATAACAATACAAAAAACGGCTTTTCCTGGAATAAGTTTCTCTCTCACTCTTGGAATTTTCCCTGTAAAGGGCTTTTAATCGGTTCACAGAACCAGCCCTGCATCACGCAGCCGCTGCCTGAGTAACTTTTACAAAAGGTCAAAGCGGTGCCTTTCAAGGCTTCCAAACCCTATTGGCTTCTCCTCAGCTCAAAGCAACTCGCTTTCACCCACAGAACGTTCCAGAGACATAGGGTCAGGGACCAAACAAAATCTGGTGGAGGCTGCTAAAAAGAAGTTTTCAATTTTCTTTTCAAAACACCGCATTTCACCTTCCTCCACGGCCCCACATGTTGCTCGCCTCCCTCCCAGAGGGCCCCGAGAGGCCTCGCTTCACCCCCCGCCTCCAGAACGCGCCCACCTGATTACTCTTTACTCGGGCAGACTCCGCCTCCCCACCCCCGCCTGTTTGCCTCCTTCAGGAGGTCCATTTGGGACACTTTCCCCTTCCTCTGATCCTCACGCCACACCAGACAAGCCTTCGATTCTCCACCTTCCATTCTCCCCGGCTACAGGCCTCACCTCACACAGCTTCCTAAAGTGTGCGTAGAGTGGAGCCCTAGGCCTGCACGGCCCAGGTGCTGTGTCAGCCTATCTGCCGGTTCCGCGGCGTGTACGGCCTGGAAAGTCACATGGCGGTGGGACCTGCCGGCGCCTCCACACTACTGCTCTCCTCAGAACAGGACGAGACTACCAAGTCCACTCACCTCCACGAAAAGCAACATGTCTTCCTCCGCTCGGCCCAGTCGTTCCCGCCGCCGCGACTCCAACTAGCTCACAGGCCCGAGCACCAATTGCTAGGATAAGGACACTCGCCTTGCCCCTCCACCCGGCAGTGTACCCGGCTCCTCCCCTGCCGTCAGCCGCCGCGGCCTGACCCGCCCAGTCCCACCTCCCTTGAAACAGCAATTGTTTCCGGTTCTAGAGAAAAATTGCTTCCGGGAGAAGAGAAAGCCCTCGGTTCACTCTTGCGCTGCTCTTTCCAGCCGCAATGTGGAATGTACTATCCTCTGTTGGAGGGGGGTGGAGGTGATCGCAGGGAGACACGGGTGTGTAAAAATCTTATTGACTCATTTTATCACTTTCTAGCTACCACAGCCCTAATAATTCCGCAGTCTTCATAGTTCAAAATCTAGATGTGATTTTAAAAAGCCGATCTTGTGCGAAGTGTACTGAACAAACGCCCAACTCTGCCGAAAACGTGGTGGCTCGCAGAAAGAAGTGGAAAGGAAAAAAAGGTGAAGTAGTAGTAAGTATATTAGTAGCAGCTGGTATATATTACGTGCTTACTGTGTGCTCGACACTAAGCATTTTACGTGAATTTATCTCGAAACAGTGCTATGCAATAAATATCATCATCCCCGTTTTACAATTGAAGGAGCCCTCTAGGACGGCAGGTTTCCCTTTGACACACCTTTAAAGAACTTTGCCCCTTGCTCGCCTGAATCAGGTACCCGCATCTCCGTTTATCTTAATAAAAAGCTACTTAATACTTAGTCTGGATAGCCTCTTCATTGACCCAAATAAAATACACAATAAAAACAATTTTTAAAAAATTACCTTTATACATTTTTGTTAGATGATCCAAACTCCTCATTATCTAAAGCAATACATATATCTCTCCCTGTGAGTCCCATTTCTGCATCCTAGTTCAGACACTCATCTTTTGAAATAATCATGTCTTGATCTTTTCCAACGATTTTTTTCCATTCTATTATTTTAAAAATCTTCTTAAAGTGAAAGTTTCATTTTCACCAAACCGCTGTTACTTGCTTTCAAGACCTTCCCATTCTGCTCCCATGAATCTTTCTTGCTTTACCGAATCTCTTCACTTTCTCACTTAGATACCAAATTCATTCCACCATCAAATGGCTGATATTTGTATATCAGCCCACCCTAATCTAATCCCCAGTAAACTCATCTCAGTGATTAAACCAATCTCACTTTTCCGCTAAAATACAATCTCTTTAGCACTCACCTCCAAAGCCATGACTCAAGGTGTCTTCCCTATCTGGATTGCCTTCATTTGTCAATCAACCTTCTCTCTCCATAAGGTTTTTCCAAAGACTCTGCTCCCTTCAGATCTCTTCTTCATGTCCCTTGTTAGCACTTGATTTTTTATATTCTATCTTAAATTTTTTTTTTGGTTTTTAGTTTCTTCACAGGAACGCTACCATATATTCTTCAGTTCTTCAGTTTAGATTAGGATAACAGCAGCTGCATCGTAGTGTTTCAACAAATGTTTGTCAAATTGAAAGGGAAGGAGAAGGATTTAAAAATTTGCTTTAAAAAGCCTTGATTTCCAATTGCTGATTGATGAAGTCCATGCTGATTGATGAAGAAAGAGAGAAGAGCAATAATGCTAAATTAGTTCAGTTGACAAGGATTTAGGCTGCTTTGTGAATGCCTACTGGGATAAGCAATGCGAGGGACAGTTATTTAAGGATCTCATAATCTACTATGATTTTCAATAAAGTACTTAAATAGGTTAATTGATAATGTCAAGAAATGTTGAATAATGATGAATATTTTAATCAGACCTCACATTTATAAAAATAAATAATTCTCCTTAATTGCTGTCCTTTCCGGAAACATTATGAACTTCTTTGAGTAAATAGACTTAATTAATTGTCATTTATAGGAAAGGAGAGAGTAATGTTTTATGACTGCAGGGCATGGGGGAAGAGGTTGGTCTAAAAATCAAAGAAAGTATTCTAAGGCTTAGAAAAGTTTTCATCAGGAGAAGAATCTGAAACTATAATGGATCTCCAAATTTTAGACAGTTTCTGTGGAAGAATTGATGAAGAATGTGAAGAAAAACAAAAATAAAGTATAGCATCCAGTTTTGAGATGTTCACCAATTAGTTGATGGAGACAAACAATAAATAGTTACACTTCAATGAGATAAGTACTATAATGGAAAGTTCAGGAAGTGATTTGGGAACATAAAGGAAGGAATAACTTAGACAATGAGATCTTAAAGAGGAGGGAAGGAAAAAATAATTGGAAGTGTAATATCCTTAAAAGACAACTGCTGGCTGGCGCGGTGGCTCACGCCTGTAATCCTAGCACTCTGGGAGGCCGAGGCGGGTGGATCGCTCAAGGTCAGGAGTTGGAGACCAGCCTGAGCAAGAGTGAGACCCCCGTCTCCACTAAAAATAGAAAGAAATTATCTGGACAACTAAAAATATATATATGGAAAAAATTAGCCGGGCATAGTGGCGCATGCCTGTAGTCCCAGCTACTCGGAAGGCTGAAGCAGGAGGATCACTTGAGCCCAGGAGTTTGAGGTTGCTGTGAGCTAGGCTGACACCACGGCACTCTAGCCAGGCAACAGAGCCAGACTCTGTCTCAAAAAAAAAAAAAAAAGACAACTGCTTTATGATCCCCTGCCTCCATTTCTCTAAAGGACTGAAACACATAAATAGTTTAATTTTACAAGTTTACACCAAGGACTCAACATAGGACTAGTTTTACAATATGTATACAACAAGGACTCAACACAGGATGATCTTGCATAGAAATTAATTTATACAGCCACAATTTGTATAAAATTTAAAACCTATAAAATGATACTATATAGTTTACGAATATACGTACCTGTAGTAAAACTATATAAAAATACATTAAACACAAATACATCAAATTCATCATTGTCATTGCTTCTCAAACGGGACTGAGGGGAAGGAAGGAATCTGGGGAGGACAATAAAGGGAACTTTTTCTCTAATGCTTTCTTTTATTTAAAAATATCTGAGGCAAAAAATGACAAAATGTTAATATTTGTTCATTCTAGGTGATGATCACATAGCTATTTGTTATATTATTTTCTGTACTTTTATATTTTTTAAAATTAAAAAATAAAGCTACACAGCAAACAAAACCACCCTGTTCTTTAATTGCTTCAGTCTCCTACATCCTTTCACCTCCTCTGCAATCAAAGGAGCTGCCCCAAAGCACCAACCATTCTTATTCAGTTAGAAAGCAGCCTCTAGTGTTCCCTGCAATTTCTTGAGTCAGCTGTGTAACTTGAAAGCCTTCTTCGGTCAGGTTCCTTGAAAACACAAGTAACTGGGCAGTGCAAAGAGTGTGATCTTCATCCAAATATCTTTCAACTTACTACATGTCTAGGGAATATTAAGGGGCAGCTGAGGAAATTGTAACGCAGTTATTCCATTACAATCTTAAAATACTTAAGCAAAACCCTAAGAAGAGAGAAGAATGGGGAGTTACATTTGATACACTGGATCTTGAGTTCTAACACCTAGATTTTAAGCTTATTTAAGCAAGGCTATAACTTCTATATCTTTTAGCTTTCCTGTTGTCTATTCTTTCCTACCCTCCTGCCCGCCTTTACCCTTCTACCATCATAGCATATGGAATGCCTATTTCTTTGCATTTGGTAAGCATGCTTTAAATGTTTGAGTCCACGATAATGTCACAATGGGTCTATTGTGACATCACTGGGACCCTTATACCGTGGTTAGCAACCAGTTAGTAGCAGGGTACGCCACAACTTCTGGGAGCAGGAAAGACTTCTTCTAGCTTCCTAGTGGACACCCTTACTAGCATTTGCCTATATTCTGTGAAAAAGAAGAAATCAGCTAAATTTTCAAAATGTTTACCAAAATGCAAAATGAGGTAGACAGTGAATCTGAATCAGAAAAAGAAGTCAAGTATTCTGCCATCATGAGAAGAAAGCCCAGAAATGTCCTTGATGTTCCAGTAGTCCCTAAACTTGAAGTCCCATTCTCTGTAATGGACATCATCTCTAGGATTGACCAAGCACAGCTCCATCGAGCCAGAGAGGTAGGTAGTAAATCAGAAGTTTACAGACTGTAACTGTTTTTTTAACTTTCCATGACCAGATACATTTTTTAATTTTAGAAATCACTTTACTTTCATGATATTTGACTGTGTTTATGGTAACTTTGACTTCAAATGACAATTCGACCTGATTCTGACTCTGTGGATGGCAAGCTCTAATTTGATATTAATCTCTTCATATCAGAGTGAATCAAGCTATTTAAGAAATAAATCATGTGCTACTTATTGGGATAGAATGAAAAATTAAAGTCTATAACTAATACCAATATCTAATTTCAGCCAATAGTTTTCATTTGTTTCCATTATTAACCAGAAGGAACATAGATTGCGTTTGCATTTTAGCTCCTTTGTATTGTATGGTGGTGAAATCTAAAGAAAAAAAGTGAATTCTAGCTCCTTTAATTTCCCCTGAACACTTCAAGGGAAGTGTTTATTGGCTAAGAGAAAGCCAAAGATAATGAGCAAAGAGCTTAAATAAGATAACAACCAAACAGAGCCCAAACAGTTAAGGTTATACTGCATTCTATTCTCTCAGACAGTCAAAATATAACAGGTTAAAAACTTGATTAAAGGAAAGTTCTTTCCTGTGTTTAAGGAGCACCAAATCTTAGTACTTTCTTACTCTTCACACAGACTTTCCCCTGTTCCAACTCCCCACAACTAGCAACAATATCAGTTTTGCTTTTAATAACTTTACTGAGGTATAATTGGCATATTAATAAACTGTACATTTTTAAAGTATGCAAGTATTGATATATATAAACACCTGTAAAACCTTCACTACAATCAACACAATGAACTTCATGCCTTTTTATAATCCCTCCTACATGCTCTTCCCTGCCCCCTACCTGAATCTCCAGCTAAGCATCAGTCTACTTCTGTCACTGTATATGTTTGCTTTTTTTAGAATTTTATATTTTATCTAAGTGGAGCCATACAGTATCTACTTTCTTTTAGCTCATGTCTTTCACTTACGATAATTATTTTGACATTCATCCACATTTTTGCATGTATACAGAGCTCATTCCTTTTTGTTGGTGAGTATTTTTCCATGGCATGAGCTGTTTCTGGTTTTGGGTTATTACAAAGAAAGTTGCCATGAACATTGGTGTGTAAGTCATTAAATGGACATGTTTTCATTTCTCTTGGGTAAATACCTAAATTTGGGATAGGTCATGTGGTAGGTAAATGTTCAATTTTTAAAATAAACTATCAAACTGTTTTTGAAAGTGGGTCTATTATTTTACATTCGCACAGGCTGTATATGAGACTTTCAATTGCTCTGCATCCTTATCAACACCTGATGTGGTCAATCATTTAAATTTTAGCTATTCCAAAAGTTATATAACAGTATCTCATTGTGGTTTTAATTTGCACTTTCATAATGACTAATGGTTTTAAGCTTCTTTCCATGGGTTAATTTGCACTGGGTATGTTTTCCTTGGTGGTTCAAATATTTTACCCATATTTTAAAAATTGAGTTGTATGTTTTCTTATTATTAAGTTTTGAACATTCTTATATATTCTGAATAAAACTTCTGTATTGGATAGGTGATTTGCAAGTATTTTCTTCCATTCTATAGGATGTCTTTTTCTTCTACTACTAGTGGGTTTTTGTTTTTTTTTTTTGAGACAGAGTCTCCTCTCTTGCCTGGGCTAGAGTGCCGTGGCGTCAGCCTAGCTCACAGCAACCTCAAACTCCTGGGCTCAAGTGATCCTCCTGTCTCAGCCTCCCAGGTAGCTGGGACTACAGGCACGCGCCACCATGCCCGGCTAAGTTTTTCTATTTTTAGTTATTTGGCACATTTCTTTCTATTTTTAGTAGAGACGGGGGTCTCGCTCATTGCTCAGGCTGGTCTCGAACTCCTGAGCTCAAAGGATGAGCCTGCCTCGGCCTCCCAGAGTGCTAGGATTACAGGCATGAGCCACCGCGCCCAGCTAGTTTTGTTTTATTTTAGAGACAAATTTTTGGCTTGGCGCTGGGGTGGCGCATCCCTGTAGTCTCAGCTACTTAGGAGGCTGAGGCAGAAGGATCGCTTGAGCCCAGAAGTTTGAGGTTGCTGTGAGCTAAGCTGATGCCACAGCACTCTAGCCAGGTTGCAACAGAGTGAGACTCTGTCTCAAAAAAATAAAATAAAACAAAACAGAAGTTCTAAATTCAACTTATCATTTTCTTTTGTAGATTGTGCTTTTGATGTAATGTATAAGCAAACTTTGCCTGACCCTAGATCACAAACATTTTCTCCTATGTATTCTTTTAGGAGTTTTATACTTTTAGATTTTACATTTAAGTCTATGACCCATTTTGTCTTAAAATGTCAGATATGGATTGAAGTTCACTTTGTTTTTTTTTTTTACAATCATTTCAGCTCCATTTGTTGAAAAGACTATCCTTTCTCCACTGAACTACATTGGCACCTCTGTTGAAAATCAACATATTTGGCTGGGCACGGTGGCTCACCCCTGTAATCCTAGCACTCTGGGAGGCGGAATTGGGAGGATTGTTTGAACTTAGGAGTTCAAGACCAGCCTAAGCAAGAGTGAGACCCCATTTCTAAAAAAAAGAAAAAATCAACATATTTATGTATGAGTTTATGGACTTTAGTCTGTTCCGTTAATTGATTTGTCAATCTTTATGCCAGTACCACAGTGTCTTAATGACTGAAGCTTTAAAATAATTTTTGAAGGCCGGGCACGGTGGTTCACGCGTGTAATCCTAGCACTCTGGGAGGCCGAGGCGGGTGGATCGCTCAAGGTCAGGAGTTCGAGACCAGCCTGAGCAAGAG